GCATATTGAACGCACATTGAACGCATATTGAACGCACATTGAACGCACATTGAACGCACATTGAACACATATTGAATCGCTGCCGTCACACCCGCTGCTTTGTTTCTTTAAATTAATTTCTTTCTCTGGCATGCAGCTCAGTTTGTGCACGTTCCTGCCCGCTCCTCTAAACAAGTGTTGTTCATGCTGCTATACTCTCAGAACACCAGATGTGGTCTTGACATTTGTTTTGGAGCAATTTTTTGAGCAGTCAGAGAGTCAACAAATAGGGTTTCAGTGCCTTGCTCAAAGGCCACACTGACAGGAGATGGTGGAAGAATTAAATGATGTGAAACGTGCATCTATCTTGTTTTAGCTTCAACATTTGGGAATGTGAATGCAAGAAGTGAATGTGAGAGCATCAGGGAGGAGTTCACTTACATTTAAATTGCTAGTTTAATAATAGTGTACACGTCGTAAACATCACATGTTTCATTGCTGCTGTTACAGCTTCTTAAGGCCGGCTCTTTAACAGCAACATGGAGACAGTAGATGTCGAAGAAAAGATCAGAAGCTCCTGAAACCCAAAGCCGGACTCTGGAACCATGTCTGAATTAAATCCTGCAGGGTTCACCTTTCTTGTGTCGTTTTACCATAGTAATGCCTTTTGGGGCTGTTAAAGTCATGTGGTCAGACCCTCCTATCTCTCATCATTTGTCACTGACATGATCATGAATTCGTGACGTGTCCTCTCAGACTGCATCCTGTTCTGTGCCTCCACTCCTCGAGCTGTTCTCCTTAACGCTTGATGTCTCCACGTGGTTCGAACGCGTGAGCATGATGGTGATCCTGTTGAACTGCGTGACTCTGGGGATGTACCAGCCCTGTGAGAACATCGACTGCACATCGGACAGATGCCAGATACTACAGGTAGGACCACACACACACACACACACACACACACACACACACACACACTTACTTTGTGATCATATCTTTTCCATTGATGCTGCAGCATGATTTACTCTCCAAGGCCTTGAAACTGTTTGCTTGTATCTTATTGCACTCCAGTTTCTTTATTTGAACACGTAATGTAGTGTACTGGGACATTGTTTTTATTATCCACCAGTAGAATCATGCAATCACTCGCATGCGTCCCGTGAGTGAGCGTGGGTCTCTGTGTCCGTCCACACATCTCTCATTCTGCTGCAGCAAACTGCACATTGTGAGTGCATCACCCTCAGCTGCTATACTCTGCAGCCAGAGACACAGTGAGGTGGAAAACAGCTGGCCCACTTCTCTTGGTTTGGACGGCGTGTTTGGCTAACGGCTAACAGAACTACCAGCGCTCACACGGGGAGACAGCTTGTTGAGTTCAACGACTATACGGCCAGTTGTGGGATGTGTTCATCCAGTCACACAATTCAGCAGACACACCTGGCGGAGAGCTGCAATCTACTGAGTGCACCTTTCTAGTCTTTGGTATTGTACTGTGACTCCACCCTCTGGGGAATATTTACATTTATTTCTCCTCGACTGCAACAAACTTTGGGACTTAACTTGCATTTATGTTCCGATGTGGCGTTCCTTACAAAGGGCCTTCCAGCCTCACAGAGCCACTGACATGGCTGGTTTCTCTCCCTGTATTTAAAAGTGTCCAATAAATAATGTTGACTTAGTTACACAGGCTCATGTATATATGTATATTTACAGGCTCTAGATACATCGACGCTGTGCAAAAGCACTCACGAGCATGCGTTAATAAATCTGTGCACTTATACTTTTATATATGACCCCCTACATCAGCAGACAACTCACATGAGCACACAGAGACAACATGCCCTCACAGTCCTAGAAGTAGAGAGCAAAGGATGTGCTTCTAGGAAGCGTGCACATGTATTTGTTCCCACACGCACGCATACACACACACACACACACACACCCTCCTCTTCTGTAATGCTTTCCTCTCAATGCTTCCTCGCCTGTAACTCCTCGCAGTGACTCACTGCTAGCATGTGGTCTTTATGGTGCAGCGAGCATGCACCCCGGCAGCTATTCCCCCCCCCCCCCCCAACTCGCAGGACACAGGATCCCTCCTCACTTGTGGCAAAAGGTGCCCCCCCCGAGTGGGTGTTACACCTGCGTGCGAGCGTGTGCACGTACAGTATATCTTCGGTCTGTCTTTGTGAAGCGGTCGTTGAATCACGGCTGTTTTTTGGGGTTTTGTTCACGTTCTCACACGAACACACACAGAAGGCGCTGCACTCAGCACAGACAGCGGATTGATCCGGCTCCCTGCGGGAGGTGGCTGGTGAGTTGGACCTAATAGAATTTCTCCTCCGAGTATCTACAGAGCCTATTCAATATCAGCATGGATTTAGTGCGCTGCAGTGCCACAGTCAATACCTCTCAGAAACTCCGTTGTTCAATACCGTGATTTCAGTCGGGGCCTCGGCAGCACAATCTTTAAGCTCTAACAAATGTGGATTTAAAGACCTTCTGGAAGCTTTGATAGTTATTCAGTCAGCTAGTTAACGTGCGTAGATGGATGGATGAGTGGATGTAAAGGGGAAAATGATGAGTGAATACCAGATTATGTTGTTCTGTGAGAGTCAGAGGCAACTAAAATCGTAGTTTGGTCCTTAAAACGCTTTAGCACCAAACATATTTAGTTTGCATTTGACTTCCCTCTAGCTGTCCCATGACCTGGATGGATGAGAGCCTTCATCGACATCACACGTTGTTGTATAGAGACAACAATGTTCTCATCTCACTGGAGAGGAAATGTGAGATAGTCAATAAGTAGCCTTCAGAAAGAGAGCGGCATACACATGATGCCAGTTTGGTTTAAAAAAAGCTCTGAAGATGTGAAAGGTTTGGAACCTTTAACGCTGAATGGTTTTCATCAGCTTTCCTCTTGTAATAGTGTTTTTGCTATTCGGGCTGTTCACATCCAGCATTCGTAGCTAAACCAACGGAAAATAATGAGTGAAGCCGATGCTTCATGTCTTAAAGCTGCATTCTCTCCACTGACCACCAGGGGGCGACTCCTCTGGTTGTATAGAAGTCTATGAGAAAATGACTCTACTTCTCTCTTGATTTATTACCTCAGTAAACATTGTGAACATGAGTTTATGGTCTCAATCTCTAGTTTCAAGTCTTCTTCAACGGCAACGGCCAAAATCTAAGATGGCGACGGCAATATCGCCGAACTCGAGGCTTCGTAACATCAGTCCACAAACCAATGGGTGACGTCACGATGACTACGCCCACTTCTTATCTACAGTCTGTGGGCCCAACAAACAGCCATCTTTCAGCCAAGAGGCCGCTGTTCGTTCCTCGTGCGAAACCAGAAGTCATTGTTGATTTATTTATCACGTAACTTGTGTACTTCAGTAACGTCATTTTTACCCAAAGCAACCCTGTATTGAGCGCGAACGCTGCAGCTTCTAAACGGGCTGCAGTGTATTGTGTCTGGGCAGCTCCTCACCGTCAATGTACGTCCACTAAAAGTGTTTTATTCATCCCACTGAAGGAAAAGTAAAGAAAAAGGTTATAATTCTCTGCAGGGTTCTTTCCAAAATGTTGCGGCTTTATAACAACAATCTGAGCCGTGTCAGTGGCAACATCAAGCATCCCATCAGCCTCAGCTGTACTACGCAACATGAGCAAGTTAGCATTGTAATTGAGAGCTGTAGGTGTATACTAGAAATGTGTGCACATGTGATGTGTGTGGAAAATAATAATATTGTATATATATATATGCATATTTGTGTTATTGATATCAAAATGTAATCATGGACTGGGCTACGGCCTGCCACAGTTGAAAAGATTGGAAAGCTAAGAGCATACCAGAATAGAGACAGATGGAAGTCAAACAAGGGAAACCAGAGAGAGACGGATGATGCAGAAGTATAGAGACGTACAAGAGACTAGAAGACAAGCGAGTGAGAGGTTAAGAAGGAGAGCAGTGGAAATGTCAGAGGAGGAATGTTTTTCTTGACATTTGGTGGAGTTTTCATCTCCCTTGGTTCGGCGAACTTTACAAACGGCAGCACCTCGTCCATCGTTCCGGTTTGACAAAGGTCAAGGTTGCAAACTGCGACCATTCCTGCGCATTAGCAGGCCAGTCCTGCAGCTCCACGCTCCCCCAGGACTGCCGAGTAGGACGCTTCTTTTGTCGAAGAGAGTGACGAAACAAGGATTCGCATCAGTGGTTCGGATTCAGATCATGTTGCCGACAGTATACTTCACCCTCTGAAAATCAAATTACTGGCAACGCCGAGCGCGTCAGTTCCTCCCCAATCCCCCTTTATACACAGAAAAGAACAGCAGTAATCTGGGCCTCTTGCTCACAACAGCAATATCACGCATTAGCGAGCTGGGTTCTTTGATTTATTTTGATTTTTTTTCTTTTAATTAGATGCTTGATTAAAGCTGAAGTGAGGTGGGGGGATGTCGATGTGGGGCTTATCTCTGATTACTGCACAAACAAATTATTTTCTATTACACCACAGTTTAGGGCAAACTGCTCGACTGGGGAGAAGGCGGGGGGGGGGGGGGGGGGGGTTAACAAAGAGAAGGTTTGGAGAGAGATGGAGATATTAACTTGTTAGAGAAAGACAATAAATAAAACGGTTGCAGGAAGAGAGACGAAGGTAAGAGATTGGCAGGGAGAAAGGGGGGAGGACGGAGGCTGAGAGAAGCCCAGGAAACACTGGAGGGTGATCGGCCACCTCGTCCCAAAGGTGCCATTGGGTCGATGTCTTGGAGACTGCCCTCATCAATGAATGATCTGCTGATTATTTGTGCCTAATAATGTTCCAAAACTCCAAGTGGCCTCTACTGATGGCATCAGTTGGAACCAAAGACTGGTGTCTGTAACAAAGCTGAAACAAGTCCATTAATTGGCTACTCAATTTAGTTTTTGCTGGTTTATTCACAGCTACGAATTTAGATTTTCAATAGTTTTTCAAGCAAAATTGGCAAACATTTGCTGCCTCTGGCTTCTGAAATATGACAGTTTAATGATTTTCTTTGTCACAGATGACCATAAAGTGAAGGTCTAATAGGGAGCAAAATGAGACGTGACTGTGGCAGTTATGGGCAATGTTACAAATAAAAATGAAATATTATTTTACCAGAAATTGAGAAAGCTCACTTGAGTCTCCTTACTAACTTGATAAATCATGGATAGGGGCGGAGCCACGTTCCCAAAGTGCCCATTTGATAAAGAGTCAAGCAAACATAACATGTCGCCCACGTCATTGTGTGTTACTGACAGCAGGCATGACGGACACATCGACTCCAGAGGTTTGACTCTGACATCAGCGTGTTCCCACAGATTCACCGCACCTGGTGGTGTTTTTCCATCCTGCTGAGGCCCATCGATGTCCTTCTCTGATGTTTCTGTCTCCACCTTGTTTACGGTGCCCAAAGCACTGAGCAATGATGCCGTGTCTCTTTGTCGCCCTGTGTCTTCCTGTCAGGCTTTTGATGCATTCATCTACGTCTTCTTCGCTATGGAGATGGTTATAAAGATGGTCGCGCTGGGGATCTTCGGACGACACTGTTACCTCGGGGACACGTGGAACCGACTGGATTTCTTCATCGTCATGGCAGGGTGAGGACCTTCTGTTCCCTTTGTGCTCTCTGTGTTTGTCAGTGTGACAGGTTTTATTCTAACGCACATCTGGCAAAGCAAGAAAACCATTTGTACTACAAATTAATGGATAAACACCATATTTATAAGGTCATGTAGGATTAAATAGAAACACAAGCTTATTCATTCACACAAATGTGTTTCCCTATTTATAAGTTTTATTATTAGTGTATTAATAATAAGGTTTATCAGGAGTATATTTACGAGCTCGGCAGTTCACGGTGCATTGTCCTACCATGCATGGCCAACACTGTTTATGTTAAATAAGAAACATTTAATATTGTCACGTTGATAGTCACTGTCGATCGGGGACATGGCGGACAACAACACAACGATAATGTGATTCAGCTGAGCTAATCACTGTAATGTACTTTAACAAACGAGCTGAAAATGACCCTCATAAATTGACCGCATGTTCATTCTGTTACTGACGACCTCATGAATATGAGCCGAAGCCTTTTGCTGGTGGAATAAACCTCATTACTCAACCTCATAATATAGGTTCTGTGAGTAAAATCAATGATGAACTATCAGATGAACCCTTTAAAGACGTAACCCCTAACCTAAACCCATTTCCACTTTCAGTTTGCATGAAGCAGTGTGGTTTCTGCTCTGTGATGTTGTCCATTCACAGTCTGTTGTTCTGACTGCTTTCAGTTTCCTTTGATCGTTTTCTTTTGCTGTTTTGAGTGACGCTTTGACAGCGAGGGAAGTCTCACCCTTTTTCAAATATTTTCACGTCTTTTTTATTGATCAGCACAGGAACTGGGAGTGTCTCTGTTATTGCAAGTTAGGATTTGAAAGGATGCAAATGTCTGTAAGTTGCAGTCTGTAATTGAAGTATTGTAACTCCATATACATGAAAGTTGCTTTCACACCTTCATGTATATACATTCAACTCATTCACTGGACGGTTTTGTCATGGACGTCTGAGGGTGAATCAAATTCTGGTGGAATGACAGCAAGTCATGCAGCACTTTGCTTGTTGTTTTATGTTGACACGTCTTCGCTAGTTTCACAAATAGCTCACAAAGAAATATCCGAAACCTCCGGAGCTGAAAAGTGAAGCCAACACGGCAGCTCCAAAAACCTGTACCGGTGGTGAATTGATTAAAACTAATCCATGTAAACTATATTCATATAAAGTTATGCATAATTAAGGGCGTGGCTGCTTTGAATCACAGGTAGCTAGCTGCTAGCTGTCTCCTAGGCATTGCCTCAGCTAATCACTGAACTTAACCATTCGGCCGTGTTTGTAATGTCGGTGACTTCTGAATAATTTTTCATGAAAATATAAGAAAAATAATCAGTCTTTTTGTGTAGTTAAAACGGACCACTCTAAGGAGTCTGTGCATTTTTTAGTACGTTACAAACAAGCCCGGTTTTTCAGGCTAAAGCTAGCATCCCAACTCATTACTGATGCATCTAGCCAACCAAGCTAGCCAGCTAGCACTAGCTAGCACTAGCTGTTACTTAGCATTTGTTATGCTAAAGCTAACTCTTTCCCAGCTCCACCCTCTCGTCCAAATATGTTCACTACCGGCTACAAAAAAAGACACGATGGCGACGGCAGAAATGGAAAACTCAAAAGGCTCGATAACCACAGACCAATGGGTGCCGTCACAGTGACTACGTCCACTTCTTCATACTTAAGACCGACGCTGTGGGGTCACTACATCAACGAGGAATGTCTACTTAACACACAGCTGGTTCAACTGCCTTTTCATGGAAAATGTCTGTATTCTCGTTCTGAAACTTATACGTGATGCCATGGGTACCAACATCGTGCAGCCTTGAACATACATCCCTCATTAGAGGCTAACAATAGCTTTCTTGACCATATACAGTCAGCACATGGATTTGACAGTAGTTTAGCTCTTCCTGCTAAAATCACATATCGGCCATCGGAGTGGTTGGTCTGTTTTTCCGGATGGTGTCAAACACACGTCAGGTTGTCGGCCGATTCACAGCCTATAACGGCTGGTTTCAAGTGATTGATGAAGAAACTCCCAATAACAAGAACTCTAAATCAATCTGTACACACGTTTCTTCACTCGCACAAAACCCCATAGAGGTGTTTTATTGCCACAGAATACATTATCGATTGTCATTGCAACCAAACATCATCACACCAGCTGACAGCTGAGTTTGAATTGATTATTTGAACGGCCGTGGCACTGTGATGAAAACCTACATGTTAGTCTCCTTGAAGATGCTGTTCTTTGACGTGTGCATCACTCATGTTGGTTTTAAGGAATAAATACAAGAGCTCTGGATTCTCTGGACCTTGTTGGTATCCTTTCAGTTCAGCTAGCAATCCTGCTAGATGGTAATAAATATATAGATGTGAACCAACCTCTGGCAAGAAGCAGACATTTCCAATTTACCATAATATCTCTTGGCACATGAGAGGAAAAGTAATTACCATGAATGGATAAAACGATCACGTTGTAGCTTCCCTTTTCCATTTTTTAGTCTCCCTTTCAGTTGTTCCGCCATCACGATGAGTAAGCAGAGGAGACGACACCCTGGGGATGCTGGGTAAACATCGCTCATCTGTTTCTCTTGTTGGATGAAGCTCGTAGAAAGAGACATTCCTCTATGTTGGTGACTTTCCAAACAGCTTAATTAACTGACATACTGTGCACAGGAGAAAGATTAGGAGGATTCAAAGACAACACGATCAAGTATCGACGTTTCTTTGGTTATCATTTAGAAGCTCATCAAATGGGCCAAAATGATTCTGGATACAAACAAGCTTTATACCAATTGCTTAAGCTACCTTCACTATGGGTTCTGAAGTCATAGAGCACCAGTCTAATTGTGCACAAGTGCATATTCACTTTTAAAGGAATTGTCTTAAAGGGGCACTCCAGAGGTTTAGTATTAAACCTCCGTAGGTCCACGTTTGTTGACGCAGAAGAGACAAATAAAGCTTTAAAACGGAGACAGCCGGGACAAAGAGAGCCTACATTCTTGTCCCAAGTGTGGTTCAATCTCCGATAATTAAAAAAGCAATACCAATAATATTGTCCAGTAAATATTATGACTCATTTGGTGATTTCCTGACTTGACAAAGCTCCTCCAGAGTTAAAACGGGTTAAATGGAACTCCCAATGACTGGTGAAATGGCCTTTATGTGTAAAATCTATCCATCCATCCATCCTCCCTCCCTCCCTCCCTCCATCCCACCCATCCATCCATCTTTTCTTCCATCCATCCATCCATCCATCCTCCCTCCCTCCCTCCATCCCACCCATCCATCCATCTTTTCCTCCATCCATCCATCCTCCCTCCCTCCCACGCATCCATCTTTTGCTCCCTCCATCCATCCACTCTCACCGTGATCGTTCTTCCTTTAACTTGCATTCATTAATGTGTTTGTCAAACCAGATGTGACTGTAAAGACTCAAACACTCTGAACACCATGCCACATGATGTAAGCACACCTCCTTTCTCCTCTTACATTCTCTCTTCCCACAATGCCCTCTTTTAATTAGTATTAAAATAGTTATTTTAAATATTGCCTCAAAAGAAAGTGTTTGTGCTTAGTATTTATATATTTCTGTTGCGTATCTCTTTTCGATGAATTATTCACTTTTTCCTCTTCTATTGTCCCCCAGTAGCTTTCCACCATTTTTAACTGAACTTACACTTTTTTCTACCTTAGCCATGTTCCCTCCATCCCTCCTTTTCATTTCCACTCTCTTCATCCTCCTCTCCTTATTTCGCCCTCAAGGGAAGGTGAACATTTTTCTTTCACTTTTTTACTGGCCTGGTTTCTGGAGGTTTTCCATGAATTTCAACAGCGCACTGTTCCAGCCCTTAGACTGGAGAAGATACTGCCGCCACCATCTTGCTTCCTCGTAATGTTGTATGTGGTCTGTTTCCTCCACTCTGATCCTAGTTTCAGCACATGTCTTTACCCCCCCCCCCCCCGTTGTCGTCCTTTAAACAGCAGCCGCAGAGATCTATCGCCTCGTCTCTGTGGAATGCTCAGCGCGTGCACTACCACCAGTAACTCCCCAGTCTCACAATCACCACATGCAGCGGCAAGGAGGGGGAGCGCGATAAAACGTCACACCCCTGGGAACTAGTGTGCTGCAAACACAAACAGTAGGCGAGCTGCAGGAAGGGGATTAGCAGCAGCATGAGTCCCACACCAGGCTCTGTGAGGCCCACACCAGGCCTGCCTGTACAGCTGAACCCTGCACACAGTGAGATTGTGTGGAGCCGTGTGTTTGTGTGTTTGTGGACTGGTGCGGAGAACGCAGGTGTCCAACAGTAAATCAAAAGTTTGCTCTTTGAGTGAATTCTCCCTCGGGCTCAACCCCCTGCTGCATGCCTGTTAGTCGGGCATTCTTTTATGTAGAAAAACTCCAGCTGAAAGGCTCGTACATTGTGTTCCAGAGCATTGTTACTCAAATTAACCTTTATATTTCTTTGGTTTAGATGCTGTTGAGTTAGTAAAAATACTTTCCATTATCCTCGGATGTTTTTGAAATGTGACGGTCAGTGCTTAGGCAAAAGGGCGCGGCTTCTGTGGCCGCTAAAGCTGCACAAATATGACAAACAATGTTGTATAAATCTCAACCTTTGAACTGGGCTGCTGAGAAAATAGCATCTTGGCGCTCCTGTGCTATTTGCACATATTTGAATTAGGTTCTATCACAGAAATTTGGCACAAAAATGACGCCTTTCTGGTGTAAATGAGCCTCATTGCTGCAGAACAGTTCACGAAGATCAGCGCTGGAAGTCACACGCTGTTACAGTGAAATTATGAGCGTCTTCAGAGAGTTTGGCGTGAACTGAAGCACATTTATCTGACAGACATGGCTATTAAATCCCAAACAGGGTTTCTCTGTGTCACATTTTAATTCCTCTCCTCAAGTTTCGATGTCTCTGCACCTTGGTGCTCAGGGTTCAACGTGTTACAAGATATAAACTCTACATTGCACAAT